TCCTCGTGTTCGGGCCTGGTTTCTCCCACCTCCACATGGTGAATAGTAGCTTTGCTTTTGTAGAAATGATGGACTTTGGAAGTGTGCTTCACTTGCTGTTCCTCTTGCAACAACCTCTCGTACTTTGTGGCAGCAATCGCGAGTTCTTGCAGCTCATTAAACTGTGCATCATAAAACCTTTTTCTCAAAGGTAATTTTAAAGCCCTTTGAGCAATGGATATGAGCTACGCTTGATTGACAGGGAATTGGCATCTCATCTTTGTCCTCCTGAACCTCATCATGAAGTCTTCCGTGGACTCATGATCGTATTGTTTTACCTGCACTAGATCATTGATGGTCAATTCTGGCTCTATTCTGTAGAACTGTTCATGGAAAGCCATCTCCATTTGCCCCCAGTTGGCAATAGAGTTGGGGGGTAATAGAGAATACCATTGAGACGCCAATCCTGCCAATGAATTTCCAAACAACCTCAATTTGTAGTTTGGATTGTCCTCATACGCCATACAGTGATTGGAGAATTTGAAAATATGGTCTCTGGAAGACACACTGCTGTCTTCTCATGTGAAGGCAGGGAATGCGGGCATCTTGAAGTTGAGAGGGAATGGATTTAGTTCGTCGATATATTCAGGATACGACTTCTGGTAAGTAATCCTGAATACTGGGCGAGCCCGCGGCTGGGCATTTTGAGTTACCGTTATTCTTAACTCAGCCAATTCCTCCCTTAGTTGCTGAGTGGCTAAATTATCATTATGACCGAGGATAGCTGATTCAATCTTCGGGCTCCGGTCATTGCCTGTATTTGCTTCTCTCCTTGTTCGTTCTGCCCCTTATTATTAAATGATAATAATGGGAAACTGGGAAAACCTTTCTCCGGAATCGGCTCCATCACTGGTTGACTTCCTTCAGGAATTACCTTTTTCTTTCCCCTGTCTCCTGCTTCTTCTAGTAGCGGGAATAAGGGAATGATTGGGTCATCTCTCATGATATCCTGGCTCATTCCACTTCCTTGAGCACCCTTTGGAGTAGAGAACTCCAAATCAAGCCTTCTCTGTAGATTCCCTATGAGCATACAGAGTCTGCTTACTTCTCCCTTTGTTTCCAGGGAGATCATTTCCATGCTTTTTAACACTTAGATCATTGTAGCTTGTAGCTCTTCATTGCTTCCCTTTCCTTGTGATTTTTCAGATGCAGTCGGGCTATCTGAAACCACCTGTCCGGACGGGGAAGAAGGATTTTCTGATTGTTTTGCCATTTGGAGAGGACCTTCCTTTGGATTCTTTTTACCAAGTTTATGGTTCTTCTCTTTGGACATGCAAGATCTGGAAGTTTGGATCCCACCGGGTGTGCCAAAACTATGTTCGTGGTAGGAATTTCCGTCGGGGATGACTTCCTAGCCGACGAGCACACAGCTCCCCTGGGAGATTGGCGCCGGTTGAGGGCTGCTGTCGGGCTTCTGCTTTCCTGTCGGGCTTTGTCGGGCAAGTCTCGTCGGGTAAGACTCTTCGGGCAAGGCTGAAAGAGAAGGACATCGTTAACTTTGAGAGGTGCCTTTGTGGGGCCTTAGGTGTAGGCCTTGAGGCTCACAGTCAAGGTTAACATTTTAGTGCTCAGGTGTGCCACTGCCATCTTCAGCATGGCAGATGTCGAATGGATGTCAAGTTTTAGTTGTGAATATGCATATGCCCGAGGAACCGTGTTAGGTATAACAGGTGCCTTTGTGGGGCCTTAGGTGTAGGCCTTGAGGCTTCCTGTCAAACTAAACCAGTACTTGAGCATATTATATTTTGGTCTTTATGGTTGTCGGAGTCTTATAACTATTATATTTCTGATTATCCGAGTCTGAGAGGTAGAGCGAACCCAAATAGGTGCCTTTGTGGGGCCTTAGGTGTAGGCCTTGAGGCTTCCCATTAGAGTCCGTTCTTATACTCAAACCATCTAGACCGCATAATAGAATGAATCCAAATAAATGCCTTTGTGGGGCCTTAGGTGTAGGCCTTGAGGCTTCCTATCAGAATCCATTCCATACTTAAGCGTTCTATGATAATCATGATATAATAGAAATAAACCAAGAGGTAGGTTCGATTACTTGCGCCCCAAGTAACTTCGGACTTCTCGTTTATTAAGGATTGTCGTGGATGGGTTAAGTCCACATAAAGTTCTTTTTTATGCCTTGAGGCCAAGGACTTTTAAACTAATCAGATTTATATGTCTGAGGGCTTAGGACTTGGATCTGATTTAAACACTGAAGATATATTCAAATCGGATCCAAGTACTGAGAAAGCTTTGTCATCGTGATTTTGCTAGAAACAACTTGCATATAACTGGAAATATACAACATATTGCTAGACTTTAAAGAAAGAGAAGACAAAGACAGAGCAAAGCAGCAGGTCGGGCAAGATTAAACCTTATCAATTAAGGCTGATCGTCTTGCAGGTCCCCCTATCTTTGTAGTTCTGTCAAAGGTCTGAAAGCTTAGAGGGGGAGAGGGGAGAGGGGAGAGGGGAGAGGAGAATACAAAAGGTGAATCGATACTACAACAAGTTCGAACAAGGTAGCAGAGCTATTACAGAGGTTGGGAGAAAAGATTATCCAGCGGGGATGAAGGCTTGGGCTGACTACAGCTTCGTTTTGAAAGGCAAATCTGCTTTGGCTTTTTAGCAGAGTTTGTGCTTTTTGTTTGTTTGTTTGTTGAGTGTCCTTGTTGTTGTCCTGTCTTTTCTCTTCCTCATTTTTATAGACGACTCGGTTTGGCTCCTGTAGCGACAGCTTTGCCCGAATGCGGTCTGAGGGTGATGACTCATCAGTTTTATTACATGTAATGCCACCATAAAGTACTTTATGGGCTATGCAGTCTGATCAGTCTACACCACTTGGTCCTTGGGTAGATAGGCAAGTGGCCCTTATGAATTGTATCAAGTCAGAAAAGGCCCTTTCCTGCTTTCCCAAGTTTCGGCCAGGCCTTGATCTTCTATTCTTCCAGGCCTCCTTTTGGGCCGACTCCATCCTTGGGCCAAAAATTTAAGTTTTAATCCAAACACCATACATATGGGCTTATTTTTTGCTTTGTGAAGAAGGTTTTGTAGGGATTTTTCAAAGAGTAGAATTAAAATCAGTCTACACCGTTCTCATGCACGTTGTTTGTTTCTGGTTTTTGTTTATTTTGTTTTCAAAACTAGGGTAGTGACAGTTAATTCTTTAGGGATGATAACTCTGAAAATGACAAACTCATAGAATTTGGGGACTTACTAATATAAGAAATTTATATGAGTATCTTATGTAACCAAATTTCCTCACTAATTTTTAATCCTTTAACTTTCCAAATGATTGTAGACTTGTAGTGTCCATGGGGAATATGGATGGAGAATTTATGAGGATTTGAAGGTAAACGAGTCTCACATCGGTGAAAGAGAAATTTAGTATGGGCTTATAAGAGATTAGTATGGGCTTATAAGAGATTGTGTTGTTCTTTATATTGCCAATTGATCTTAACCTTTTCTTCATGGTATCAAAGCAGGAAGAGAATTTTCAGTGTGACCGGTACACGGGGTTGTACTCCACGTGTCACTATACAAATGGTGGGATATGTGTGTTAAAAAGTTAATAACTTCAAAAATAAAATTTCTCACCACTTATATATATAAAAACATGTGGTGTACCACCCGTGTTACTGTCACAATAAAAAATTTCTCAAAAGCAGGTTGGTCCACGTGCGAAGCCCAACGACCACACGTGCTTCACATCACCCAATTCATGTTGTCCACTTGTTTGGTTTGAAAAAAAAAATTGTCACAAGTGAAGGGGCGTGTGAGGATGTGAAAGTAAAAGAGTCTCACTTTGATGAAAAAAGAAATCTAACAAGAGCTTAATGCTAAACATATATTTATGAGAGTTGTTATTAGCACTCCAAAAAATTAATCATAAACTCCAAACATGTAAAAAGGGTGAAATACACTTGAAGGAGTGCAAAATAATTTTTTATATAGTGCCGATAACATTTACTCATCTTACTGCATGAAATATATAAGTTGAACATATTGTTTTTAATTTTCAAAAACTCACATGATCGCTAAGATGAATTTGAAGAGGGACTTAATGATTAGATCCCCATTTATATATGGCTAATGTATATTTTTAAGTCATTCGGGTGGAAGAGTTGCATAAACCTCATAATGGGCAAGCCATAATAATTTGGTTCGAGTTTTCATTTGGCAAGAATCAAACCTAAAACTTCTCATTTACAAGTGAAGAGCAATACCACTATGCTGTAATATATGACTAAAGTATTTTTATTTAGTTAATTTTTGACACGAATGATATTCGAAGAGGGACTTAAAAGACTAAACAACTTAGATCATGAAACAAGAATTAGGGAGAGCGCAAAGGAATGGTTTGCTCCGTATTAAATAGGAATGTGTTTCTTTATTGATATGGAAAAGAACAAATACAACTCCTAGAGGCAAGGATGGGATGGAGGCTAGTTGATGAGAAGGGTAAAAAGATCTACGTAGATACTTAGATCAAGGAGCTTTAGTACCAGAGTTGATGACATCTTTATGGCAATAGGAACCCAATTCAATGATATAATCATGTCTCGTGCACGAAGAGAAAAACATAAGCCCAACCTCATCCGGTTGTTAGGTGAGATAATCTGAATAAATCAATCTAGAATTAATTTTTACTTTTGAAGTTGCACTATCCAAATTTTGGTCATCGGCAACGGTGAAAAGCCAATATGCCTTTACCACATAAAAACTTAAGGAAAACTAACGAAAAGTCCAAAAAAACTTCTCTTTTAACGAAAAGCCCTTTTTAAAGGTATAGTGAATAGTGTTAGTTAAAGGTAAAAATGTGGTTTTTCGTTAAAAATGAACAGTACCGGGAGTGTTTTGTTAAAACTCCCAAAAACTTAACTATTGGCAGGAGACATCTGTTATCAATAGAGGTTGGTGCAAAATACTATAGTTGATTCACTCTATGAATTGTTTATTTGCTACAGATAATTGACTAAACAACTTTATGTGTGACAATAAGCACGAAATTTTGTGAATCGATTACAAAGAATTTTGAATATGAATTCGTACTCATATCTCAATCCATACGTGGATATGGGTTATAAAAAAAAGCAAGAGAATAACAAGTGGGTAGACAATAGAGCGGAAGCAGCAGCAAGTTTGATGGTGGATAGAGCCTTATCCCCCCTGGCATACCATACATGATCAATGCCCAACCCACGAGACTCATGCCTTATTATGCCACCCTCTTCGTATAGTAGCCTACTCTCAGCGTCTTTATGTTACCAAGATGAAGCTCGCTTCTTGCACTACGAATGTGCCACCAAGAACAATGGAGAGATAGATGTGAGAATGTGAAGGTAAAAGAGTTCCACATTAGTAAAAGATTAAAACCTTGTAAGGATTTACTAGACGTTGAGCTACTCCTATTATCGTCAATTAGTTTTATGGTAGAACTCCAACATTCTTCATGCTGTCAGAGCAAGTTAGCTCATATGTGAAGCCCAATGACCATAGGCGCTCCACATCACCAAATAGTGATGTCCGCATATATGGCTTGAAAATTCATCACCTATGGGGAAGTGTGAGGATATAAAGATAAAAGAGTCTAACATCAAAGAAAGAAAACTTTGCAACCTCTTATAAGAGGTTGAGCAACTCCACATATTGTCATATGTGCACGTACGAGCAATCATAGTAGGCTCGGAAAATTCAAATGAACTCCATCTTATAAGCTTCTTATTTGTAAGTTGGTGTATTTTATACTAGAGCCCAGAAACAAAGAATGATAATGATAATTCAACTCTGCACCGCTCAATGCCAGCGCTTAAGGCTATCTCTAATGCAAGGGGCTAATATTTCAGATCAGCCATGTATTTTCAACTATTCACTGATAAGTATGAGGTTAGATAATTTTTTCCTTCAACAGTTAGAAACTTATAATTCTCACCCCCCCCCCCACTTTATAATTTGCTAAACTTTTGTATTTCAATGAATTTTTTATTTTTGCTAGTAATTCTGAAATTAGTTTTTGTATAATCGATCTTGTTTTATCTTTACGAACATTTTGATGTAAAAAAAATTCAAATCCGAAAATAAATTGTTGATAAAATTGAATTTTTTTTTTTATGGATTAATGAACAAATAGATGTGTATTTATAGATTTTTGGTGTTGGATCTTATGTGGGTTAATTAATTATATTATTTTGACCGTTAAATTTAAATGTGGGCGGTTAGACATTGTTTATTACCACTAAAATTGATTAAATTGAATTTGAACCGTTAAATTTAAAAATAAATGTAGCAGAACGCGCCACCCTTATATCTGAATAACACGAGCATCTAGGCCATAGGAAGGGTGCTTGCAATGTGCTCGCCCATACTAGATCTTTCTTCCATGTTCCTGCTGATGCCATGGCCCGTCTTCTGCTGCAAGCTGGGGCCCTCGGCCCACTTGCTTCCTTATCCACCTGTTGGGGGGGGGGGGGGGGGAACCAGTCCCAAATTTCCACCAACAAACCCAAAATCCCATTTTTTCCACCCCAAATACGCCCCTTGGAGTGGTTTTGGGCCTAAATTTTGGTTATTTTTGTTTCTCCCCACCCCGAAAACCCCAACCCCTTCTTAGAGATAGCCTAACAGGTGAAACGATCCCAGGGCCAAGAAGACTAGAATGATGAGTTCCATATCTTTCTTATTTTGAATAAAACCAAGGTTTAAGACCAAGTGTTAAAGTAAAATTTCAATTTTATTATGCAAAGTTAAAGACCAAAGCAGAAAAATCACTTAGTACTATGATCAGTGGCGGATCCAGGATTTTAAACTTAAGGGGTCCTAATAATAAAGGTAAAAAAATTATAGACAAAAACAACATTGAAAATTTAAATATAATACATTTCATTCAAAAATCATATGCAAAACAATATTACAAATTATAAAATCATAATTCAAGCGTCCATTACGAGGTTTCATAAGTTACTAGGGAGTACCTAAGTTATTAATTATCTAATATGGACCACTAAATTTAAAACACCGGTCAAATAAAACTCTCCCCAAACTCCCTCTATCTTTCTAACCAAACACACCATTTTTCTCTTTTACTAGTTTCCAAGCATCCACTTTCTCTCTCACTAAGAACACAGCTGCCATACCTCCACCAACCGCCTCCCTCCCCATTCTCCCAAAGCCATGGTAGCTCCACCCCCAAATTTCACCAACCCATGACATGACAAATCATATCCATCTTACTAACCTTATGTAGGAAATTTCATCCATAAGAAAAATTACTAAGGTGGTTGAAATAATTTGGGGAAATTTCGCTTATGTACTGCCCCGCTAGACGACAGAGAAAGGTTGGAGGAGAAGTGGGTGGCACTGATGGATGAGACAATGGTAGAAGCAAGGAGGAGAGAGGCTGGAAGGGTCCTTATTTTCTTTCTTCTCCGTGCGCGGTGATCTTCTCCGAGAAGAAAACAGCCACTGCAACTTGCAACCTACAACCTGCACAGACCTCATGCTCGAGTACGAGGGGTCCCCGAAAAATTTCTAGCAGCGATTTAGGATTGCCGACGGGTCCTGGGACCTCCCAGGTCCCTACGTGGATCCGTCCTTGACTATGATTTAGTAGTATTCTTCTTTATTTGTAAGTGAGGTGTTAGGTTCAGTTCTCGTCAAAACGAATTTGAACCACATTATTGCTAGCTTATTGTGAGGCTAAGCCCGCTCCCCTCCTCTTTAGTGTAGATAATATTGTTTGTTCAAAAAAAAAAAACCAAAGCAGAAAAGTTCGTTAAAGAGTTCATTTATAGCCCTTTAGGAAACATATAAACCCCGAGGTAACATGACCGAAAACTAAACCCTAGGTCACTAGCTGAGCTACTAGAAATGCTAAGGCGCCGAATGTATTAGCATCCAACTAATAGACGATGTCTGTAAATTCCACTTGGATGACTAGTCAGCCTGCAGAGTCGTGGACGTATCTTAAGTTCTTAACCCTAATCCGACCTATACTGCCGTCAATTTAATGGTCCATATCATTCCATGTTAGAGTAGCCAAGTCAATCAATGAATTGTATGCATAGACAGATTGAAACCACCAAGGAAATGTCAGGTTTTTAGTGTTTACGGCCCATTATTACTATGATTGAAGCACAAACCAGAGGCCAGAACAAATAAATAGAACAAATTCAGAAGCAGCACCATACGTTATGTCGGTTAGTTAGAATAAATAGAACTAATTTTCTATCATTTATTGTCGTTTCGTTTGTACTAAACTTACTATCATCATATGTTTTGCATGTATGTGGCATTTGCTTGAAGTTCTAAATGCATGTTTTCTCGTGCTTTATGAAAGGGATGAGAAGCTTTCAAATATCAATACCGTTTCTAACAGTATTTGACAAATATAATTACAAGTGTTTCTAGGTTATAGAAGCATTCTTCGTAAATGCTTCTTATAGAGGCGCTTATGCTCTTCCTACATAGCCTACAAAACATGCCCTAAATTCACCAAGCAAGTGTAACGTGAAAAAAACCAGAAAGATAGATATGAAAACAAACTCCTAACATTCTAAGCTTTTCGGTTTAGAAGCATTGGGATCAAGATAACTTATATTTTATTATACATCTATGGATCAGACTTCAAAAGATTATTGGAGATATACTTACCTTATACATGTCATTAATCCAGAGAAACATCTTGATCCTGTCAGCACTTCCTAAGAGAAACGAACATCGAGCTAGGAGATGATCATCAAAGAACCTTCGATCAGAACATGATATAACAGTATGAGAGAGAGAGAGAGAGAGAGAGAGAGAGAGAGAGAGAGAGAGAGAGAGAGAGAGAGAGAGAGAGAGAGATCACCATCAAGTCATCAACCGGGTTATGAATATATCTCGGTTGATCGGTTAAAGTTCAAGAGAACTTGGTCAATGATTGAAACGCTTTCTGCATGGAAAGCTTTAAGTCACATGATATATATAACCTATATATATGTATCCTATATATATATATATATACCAATTAATTGGATATGCATATATATAATAGGAGAGAATCCAGTCAAAGCTCTAAAATTTTTTATGCAAAGTTGATAATCACATGGATGGAGTGGGTAAGATTGAAAAGAAGTCATTAACAGGTAGGCTTCCATGAGAGCATCCCCACATGCTTTGCCTTGTCATCTCCTTCCAATGATGGCATAGATCAATGTCTATAATTACAAATGTCACTGCTTAAAAAATTGACAAATATACACTAACATTACTCGCGCAAGATAAAATAGAAAAACAAACTTATAGGTGCTTAGTAATTTAAGTTGTTTGATTATAAGAGGTAAAGCCATTGACAACCTTTGTCAAATTTATTTATGGTACAACTAATGTTACTTGTTATTGTCTGATTTTCTTGTCGCGTCAATTCATATAACGAGGGTACACAAGTTTACTCAGAACACTTGGTAATAATACTTCCATGCATAAACTAAACTAATTTAGAGGTCTTAAAATGTACACATGGTTGTGCTTTCTGCTAAGAGACAAACCATCCATAGGCTGGAAAGCTTTGTAGGATTCCAGATTGTCTTTGTTATGCGTGGGCAAATGGAAGAGGAAGTTAATGGTGCCAACCCCAACTTTGACAGTTCTGAGAAAAGAATAATTAAACAATTAAATCAAATCCAGATTTCACTTTTCTGTCTCTATATAATATCCAAGACGGTGATCAATCCTTCAAAGGAAAAGGAATCTTTGATTTGTCTCTAAACAAATACAATGTTTGGTCAGAAATGGAGGACAAACTACTATTCGTTCTCATACAATCAATTCTTAATTACAATGATTAGGCTGTAACTAACAAGATTCCCATCTTGTATATAAGGCCAACGATCGAGTTAATGCCAATGTCCATTGTGATGGACATAATCTTCCAAACAACTTTAATAATTGTCATGCTATCTACAGCCTACTTGCCAAGGACCGAGAGACCAAATGGGTAAAAAGGGTTGCAAATTACCCGTTACACGGTAGAATTAATCCACAAATTGAGGTGATCGGTCATGTGATGCAAGAGAAACAAGGGAAAGAAATCACCGGTTACACGGTAGAATTAATCCACAAATTGAATTTTTTTAACTTTCTTAAGTTGACAGATAACGTTTTAGGTGTCCTCCTTTGCAAACCCAAAATTTGGAGGAAGCATCTCCCATTTTCATGAAACTGATGAGGCATGACAAAGAAAATGACATCAAACGAGATCCTTAATTAAAAGACAAGAAAATTAGAATCCGCTAGCAAGTATGAGAAAGCCTCAAAATTTGAGTAAAATAAGATAGAAAACAAACCTAACGTCTAAACGTCTTTTGTATGATGCCTCTTCCTAAAAGCCCTAAAAGCTCCAACCCTTGGAGTAAAACTCAAAATTTAGGTTCTAAACTTACCCCAACTTACTCCAATCCTTTGGGTAAATATGAGTTTTAACCCAAAACTCATTTCTGGGGGCAAATTTAGGCCCGGATTTTTCTTGGTTTAGTGGGGCTAACCCATCATGTATGTGTGTTTTTTTAGTTTTATATTTATAAATTCATTGAATCCAACTGTTAAAATCTAATATGACTAAATCCAACGGTAAAAAAAAAAAAAGATCTAACAATCCAAATTTTAGTCCAATGGCTAAAGTAATTAAAATAAAAATTGTGTTTCATATTCTTTCATGGTGTTCTACGAGTTTCATGGTGTTGGTTTAATGATTTTTCATTTACTGGAATTTAAATATTTTTCGGTTAAAATGTTCATAAAATTAAATTAGGATAGTCTAAATTTTTTATTTTTTTATTTCTTTTAAGTTACTTTAAGAAAAAATTTATGCTAAATTCATTCTTTACTAATGTGAGGGCTAAAAATATGGTTGGAGGAGAAAAACTGTTTCTAAGTTAAAATTTGAATACTCTAGGTTAAAAATTTTAGGTTTAACCCAAAGGTTTGAGATGCTCTAAGAATCCAAATAAGAAAAGAATTAAACAAAAAGTAAATTACCAAAAAGTCCTTATAAACTTAAATACCTAATAATACATTGTAAACTATGGAATTCGGCCAAAAGCCAACATGTCATGGCGAAGTAGTAAGTTTGACACGCATTGTAGTTCTCTTTGAATCAACGGGTCATGAACTCAAAGTGGACACTAGAGCCCAAATATGCAAAGGTTTATTCTTGCTTGTAGAGTTTGTGCCCTTCGACTTTATATCCAATCCATTTCGCTATCTACATTAATATATATGGGTTATGATCGGGGACACACGTGTTTATGAGGCCACTCCGTTATGTATTTCAATGATCCGTACTGTCTATCTTTTAGATCTTCCGTCAAATATCAAGTCTACCAAAAATCACTCAAATTCAAAACAATATGATCGTTGGGTTAAATTTAATGTTTCTTTGTAAAACTGCATTTGTCTATTTTCTTCACTACAAATGAACGTTGTTAAGGCCCAAAAAGTGCACATGCAAGCCCAATTACGTGTCAAAGATCAATTGTTGCACAATACCCCAAGCCAAACTTAAACACATGCAAAGGTGCGAAATCCAGAATATTTACAATCACACCACGCTAATAAAATAGTAAATTATGGTATAAGCGTTTGTATAATCACGTCAAGCCCATGCATAATCCCCATGTCAAGCTTTGATACGACGTTGTTGTCTTGTACAAATTATGTTGATTACGGTACATGCTCACGTAAGCCCAAGCCACATGTCGAAGGTTACCAAGTGGATCGTGGTGTGGACAGTTACGGAATTTTATCGGGTGTACGTGAAATCAAGATTATGGAAGACATTGAGCTGCTTAGGAGCACCAAAGACTTAGGCCCACGATCCTTGGCTTCTTGGGAACACCAAAGATCCAGGCCCACAATCCTTGAATTCCACGTAGGTAAGTTTGAGGGAGAACAAACTTAATTTCCCTTTTACTTAGCAAACCAACTAACCCAGTTAGGAAGAAACTAGACAAAACATTGATGAAGGAAACAAAGAGGCACATTACCAGAACTAGCGCATATGAAAAGCTAACCAGGGAAAAAGGTGCTTTGGAAAGAGCGATGCAATCTTCACTGAAGCAACGACATTCATCAATGTTACACTAAAAGGAAAGTCGTAGTTGCGCTAAGAGCAGTTCCACCCCTAAAAAAATGCTCTAGCACCCAGCCCATTTAATCCACTCAGTAACAGTGATAGACCCCAATGAACAGTAATAAGCCAAATACATCTCCACCCCAAAAAAAATTGCGCTGGCACCCAATCTAAAAAATATGTTGGCACAAACGATCTGCACCCCTGCAAAATGCACTAGCACCCAACCCATTTAAAAAAAATTAATTTTTTTATAAAAGAATAAATAAATAAAATAGTTTTAATTTCGAATAGGATTTTTAATCAATATTGTCATGCCACATGTCATTATCCGAACGTATTATTTTGTGAATAGATTTCTGCTAAGATTTTCAACCAATCCCAACGCGCCATGTGTCACTATCTATTTACAATAATTTAGCCAATATTATGATAATATTTTCAACCAATCTTGTCACGCCACGTGTCATTATCCGAACGTACTATTTTGTGGATAGATTTCTGATAAGATTTTCAACCAATCTCGACGCGCCACATGTCACTTCCTGTTTACAATAATTTAGCCAAGATTTTGATAAGATTTTTAACCAATCACGTAATGCCAGATGGCATTGTGTAGAACCTCATCCTTTCTTTTTTTGTCCATATAAACCCTACAGCCCTACATCCATCCTCACACCAAAATCAATCCTTCTTTTTAGCTTCGAATCCTTCTTCATTGTTTTCAAATCTTGAGTTCTTACAATGTCTTCTTCAAGGAGAGTGTATAAATAGTTTGAGGAGCAACATAAAAGATTGTTGGCTCAACAGGAATAATTGGTCAATCTCGAGGAAGGTGGAGGTGGAGATGAGGCTTTTGCAATGGAGGATGATGACCATAGAAGGCAGAGGGCCTCATATTCCCGCCGTGTCATGGAAGCTGTGGGTCAAATAGCCAAACCCAGACGGGCCGCAAACTTCAATAGAAAAAGGGAAAGACCATGTAAAAATCTCTTGGAAGATTATTTTATTCCCAACAACGTATTCCCTAATCATGTTTTTAGACATCGTTTTAGAATGCAACAAAGTTTGTTCAGCAAAATCATGAGTGTTATTTGCAACCATGATCCATACTTTGTGCAAAAAGATGATGCTTTTCATGTTCTAAGTCTTCTTCCTAAGCAAAGAATTACAACTACCTTGCGAATGCTTGCATATGGAACAACTGCATATCAAGTGGATGAGATCATGAGGATGGGAAAAACAATTGTTCTGGAGTCCCTGATGTTGTTTTGCTCTGCAATTGAAGCTCTCTACACCAATGAGTACCTCTAGAAACCCACACCAAGGGACATGCAAAGGCTTCTGAGGAAGGGTGAGATGCGAGGCTTCCTTGGCATGATTGGAAGCATCAACTGCATGCACTGGACTTGGAAAAATTGTCCAAGTGCATGGCAATGAGCTTATGGCGACATAAAATGAGCCAAAAGTATCATTTTGGAAGCAGTGGCTGATGCGTAAAATAACTAAACACACAAAATTAAACCCTCTTTTTATCAAATGTAGTAAAGTATGTAAGTAGGGATCGTTCTACGCCGGGGATTAGGAGGGATTGCTAAACACTTGAAAACTGACTTAAAAACATAAAAACAAAATTTAAAACACTAAACTAGACTCAAAGAATGCAAAACTATACTTTAAAACACTAAAACAAACCAAAAGACTCTGTTGATGCACAAAACCGGAGTGGTCTTGGAACAACGTAAATCCGACCGTGAATCTGTACAAACGCTCAAGAACACGAAGAACACAAAGAACACAAGGATTTTATCGTGGTTCACCCCAATGTTTGGGCTA